CAGATGCCTCTGGGTAGCCTGTAAGGAGGACCTGAGCACAACAGACACTCTCAGCACTTGTGATTCCCAGTAACTTGTAACCAGGGGCTTACTGAAAACTGTGTGGCAGATGTCATTCTCTGGACCTGACCTGGACATTGCTCTCTGCTGTGCTACTGAATTTGATAGCCAGGGTTCTTTCTAGGGGCAGCAAGGGCTTCCAGGGATGATGTGTTCTTTGTTCCTCACAAAGACCAAGAGAGGCCTCTCTGTGTGATGCTCAGGACTCTGCCAAGGCCCTCCCTTCTCCCTGTACCACCCCCTCACCAGCCTTGCTCTACACCAGGCTTCCTCAAACTCCAGATGTTTGAGACTACAATTCCCACCATCCCTTACCACTGGTCCTGCTAGCTAGGGATCATGGGAGTTGTAGGCCAAAAACATCTGGAGGGGCAAGGTTGAGGAAGCCTACTCTACACCCTTTTTGAATGTGTGGCGGGGTTTTTTGTTTGTTGGTTGGGCTTTTCACTTGGCTGAAATGTGTCCTTGGACTCTGATAAAGCCTCTTGCTTACCTGAATAAAGAGACGAGTGCATTGAAACCTATGATTTCTGGATAACTGGAATGCAGCGTCTCTTACAATGATACGAGTTACATCAATTCCTCTTCCCACTGTGACTCCAGCAGCACTGGCATGGTGACCTGCGAATGTGACTTGTGGGAATGTGAACCTCACGCTGGAAACAGTCCCCCACACCTGTATCGTGGGAATGCAGGATATATATCTATCAAATATATTTCACAAGTATATTGTGACTAGATGACTTCGAAACCCTCTTCCAACTCTTGCTGGTTGACTTTGTTTTCCTCCCCCTATCTTCAGTAAAGAAGTAAGGAAGAAGTGATTTCCTGGGTTCATCAACACTATCAACACTGTTTCCCTTCTGCTATAGTTCTGCTTCTGCCAAAACCTACATTATGTTATCTCGCTGTCTGCTGTGGCCAAAACTCATGCAATTAATTACTTAATAAGTTTCAATGCATTTCATTGGGGTGTGTGTGTCAGAAGTCCAACATAAATTCAATGTTTGCGAACTAAAAAATAACTGTGAATACCACTCATATCAAGTGGTGCGATTTCTATTCCTAACCCTGAACATGCAAGTTGCAGAAATTTCCTCTCCCTGTGCCATTTCTGAAGGAATTGTCAGACATCCCAAGTGTTCAGGAGCTGGGTCTACCATGTTAGCTTTTGGAAAAACCCAAGGTAGTTAGCTGAACACATGCCTTTGTTGTTGATGCTGGAGAGAACACAACCTGAGGACTTGCATGGGATCCCAGATAGGTTGATCAAGACAGATGGCTTCCCTGACAAGCTGACGCCACAATAATGGATGGGATGCGCCATTTTTGCCTAATTAGTTACATTTTACAGTACTTGGTGTGGAACATTAAGGAGAGCTCCAGGAGGGTCACATTTGGGCTTTAAAAAAACCCCGAAAAAACCTTCTTCCCCCCTCCTCTCTCGCTCCCAGAATTAATGAATTAATTTAGCTACAGCGTTGCATACTGTGCTAACGGCACCTCTTAATTAATTGGAAAGGTTTCTCATAATTAATGAATTGTACCAAAGACATAACCAATTAGGGTTGAAAGGGGAAGGAAACAAAGATGTCACTAAACTTTGAACAAGTATATGTGTGTAATAGATAGATAGATAGATAGATAGATAGATAGATGATAGATAAAAATGTTCAGAACCTCCCATGTGCTAGATGTGGAGAGGACTAGTTTGCAATCTACTTATTGCTGTCTTTTCAAGGGGTGCCTTGAATACTCATGAGAAAGAGTGCTAGCCTCTTTCTGTTCTTCTCAACATTCCTTCCAAATTTACAATGACAATTCACTTCAGAAGAAACTCAGTGGTGATGGGCAATAAGGATAAGCATGTCTTTGACCAGTGGGCAGAGCCATCTGGTGGGTTGAGGGAGAACCATGGCAGATAAGACTATCAGTAGTTACCAGCCATTGTGTCTCTGTACCAGCCATCTCTGTACTACCTCCAATATTGTATACCTCTGCATTCAGGCCTGTTTACTGATGTCCCATAGATATCTGGTTGGTCACTGTGGGAACAAGATGCTGGACTAGATGGGTGGACCACCAACCTGATCCAGCAAATACTCCTTATCTTTTAAACTGCCTTGATAATAGTTGGAATGCACTATGCATCTGTCTGCATCTTTGGGAACATATAAAGAGCTATTTTACACCAAGCCAGGCCATCATTCCATTGTGCACCAGTGGTAGCCAATGGGATACTGTCCATATATTCTCAGGAGGCTACACCTTCCATCAGTTCTTTCCAGCATGGCCCTTTTTCAGGAAAGTTGGGCATCGTGGTCCAGGAACATCTGGAAGGCAGCATGTTGACTATCCCTGTCTACCCTGATGGGCAACAGCTCCCAAAGCTTTCAGACAGGAGTCTTTGCCAGCCTTACCTGGAGATGACAGAAATTGGATGTTTTGCACATAAAGACGTTTCAAAGCCAAGGTTGGGTGGCCAGCTGTCATGGATGCATTAGCTGAAATTCCTGCACTGCAGAGAGTTGAACCAGATGACCTTCGGGGTCCCTTCCAACTCAACAATTCTATGATTCTAAAGCTAGGGCTCTTCCTTTTTTCGTTTATTGAAATATGGATAGATGATTGATAATAGACACACAGAAAGAGAGATAGATATCCTGCCTTTTGACCAAGCAGTTTGCAATGTTTACCTAAAACGATCAACATATTCAAGTTCTCTGAGTGCTAGTCCTTATGTAGCCAAAACAGTGTCCATGTGCACTCCCTACCAGCACCAGAACCTTCACTAAATAATATTCCATTTCCTGCCAACTCTCAATCTTCAGGCATTGCAGCACAGTAAAGGTAAAGGGACCTCTGACCATTAGGTCCAGTCATGGCCGACTCTGGGGTTGCGGCGCTCACCTTGCTTTATTGGCCGAGGGAGCCGGCATACAGCTTCCGGGTCATGTGGCCAGCATGACTAAGCCGCTTCTGGCGAACCAGAGCAGCGCACAGAAATGCCGTTTACCTTCCCGTTTACCTATTTATCTACTTGCACTTTGATGTGCTTTCGAACTGCTAGGTTGGTAGGGGCAGGGACTGAGCAACGGGAGCTCACCCCATCACGGGGATTCAAACCGCCAACCTTCTGATCGGCAAGTCCTAGGCTCTGTGGTTTAACCCACAGCACCACCCACGTCCCAATTGCAGCACAGTAGCATCCAAATTTAACAGCAGTGGTGGCTGGTGGCTGCTAGTGATGGTTGGGGAGAAGGCACAGAGACCAATGCCATATTGACATCATACACTTAAAGCACCATGATACAACCACAGCTTTCCCCACCAAAATTATGGGAGCTGTAGTCTGTTAAGGCAGATGAGAGGTGTTAGAAGACCCCGATTTCCCCCAGAGAGCTACAGTTCCCAGAGTTCCCCAGGAAGTTGAACAGTCTGAGAACTGTAGCTCTGTGAGGGGAATACACATCTTCCATCATTTGTCCGATGAAAATAGGAATGTCCTATTCCATAATGATAATTTTACTATTTATACACCACACATCTTACTGGGTTGCCCCAGCCACTCTGGGCAGCTTACAACATATATAAAAACATAATTATAATAATACCTTTATTGTCAATGTGCAACCTGTGTACAATGAAATTAACCGAGCCTCCCCCCACTCAGTCTCATTGCACCCGGTGTGCTTGTTGCACAACACACCAACCCCAAAAGTCAGTTGCACTATATTATTTTCTGTTCAGCAGCCTAACAGCCCACAGATAGAAGCTGTTTTTTTAGCCTGTTAGTATGACTGATTATACTTCTATATCTCCTGCCCGAGGGTAGAAAATTAAAGTGGTGCTGGCCAGGGTGTGAATCATCCCTGAGAATTTTTCTCACTCTCCTAAGGCAACGATCCCTTGCGATGTCATCTAGCGGGCTCAGGGGACTGCTCATGATATCATGTGCTGTGTTCACCACCCTCTGTAAAGGCTTTCTGTCCATGGCTGTCAAGCTAACGTACCACACCATGATACAATATGAGAGGACCAGTAGAAGGAGGTCATCAATTGTTGTTTAACATTGTTCTTTCACAAGACCCTGAGAAAATGGAGTCTCTGTTGGGCCTTCCTAATCACCTGAGTTATATTGTTTTTCCAAGTGAGATCTTCACTAAGGTAAACTCCCAGGAATTTAAAGGAAGAGACTCTCTCCACACAACCCCACCCCTGATATACAACAGGACTAATTCCCCTCTCATCCTCCGAAAGTCCAACACCATCTCCTTTGTCTTGCTAATATTTAGGTGCAAGTTATTCTCTAAGCACCATGTAGATTATTATTTTTTTAAAAAACTTCCCTATACAGGATTGTCTTCAGCCACCTAGGGGGTCAGATAACACCATACCTGCCAACATTTCTCCAATGAAAATAGGTACATCCTAAGGAAAAGCAGGACATTCTGGGATCAAATTAGAAACTGAGACGGCTTCTCTAAATCAGGGATGTCCCTGGAAAATAGGGAATAGGGAGGTCTCCTGACAACTCTCATCACCATAAACAAACCAGAGCTCCCAGAATTCTTTGAGAGAAGCCATAAGGGTTTAAAGTGGTGTTGTAGTGCTTTGAATGTATGGTGTGAATGTGACCCAGTCAGAGCCACTCAGAGGTGCTCAGTTGCACCCAACATTGGGGGGGGCACATATTATGTGGTTGACATCACACACGTGTGATATCACAAACATGTGGCGCCAGTGCGCTGGGCTCCTCAAAGGGTCAGTCCAGAGTGCTGGTCCTTCAGAAATCATATGTGACCCTTCAGTTGAGCTCAACGTGCCTTCTTGTCCATCACTGGTTCTCTGGGCTTGTGGAGGAGGTTGATGGTCAGAAGGCTGAATGTCAGGAGCATTCTCCACTCCCTCAATATTGAGGAGACCTGGTCCCTTGTGCAGAGATTTTGAGGGGTCCAAGAACACCTAGCCCCCCTGGAGTTGGTGTGCTTGGAGCCATTCCGGACTGGTTGCAAGAAGGCAGACAGGAGGAAGCTGGCTGAGGGCAGACTAAGGTGGGTGGATCAGTGCCCTAATAGGCGTGCCTCCACCTTCCACTGGTGAGAAACCAATCCTTTATATCTGCACACCATTAGATCTAGTTCAGGGCCCATACCCCCAGTCCCCCCTCCTCAATTTCCCCTCACCTGAGAGTATCCCCTGCTCTATTATTCATGCATTTTTTCTTCTTCTCCTCCTCCTCTAAAACCTGTCTGCATGCCAAATTACCTTTGTCAATCTGAAGTTAAAAATATAATGAGTGATTTAGGCAGCTCCAACAATTGATAGGATTTGACCTGCTGATTTTGAAAGGTCAATGGAACACATTTTTTTAATATAAAAATGTCCAGATAAGTAGGCTCTTTTTGTATGCGAAATGCCATTGCTTCCGTCCCTTGATTACAAGGCGAGGCGTCCTGTAAAAGGTTACTTTTAGAGAAGGAAGCCATACAGCCTCTCCAGGTGGCTATTCAATTTTAATTTTGCCTTGACACTTGTCTGTACCATTCTAGCGTTCTCCATTGTGGAATCTTTTAATGCCGTATCACTGACTGATGTGTACTTGGGAGGTAATGAAAATCCACCTCATTTTTTTTTTTTATGTAGGTAGAAATATGACCTTTAGGGCACCTCATATAATCCAGACAGATTGTGGCTGCACTGATCTCCAATTTGTGTTATGTTTTTATGGGCAAGAATTCATCATCATAATAGAAGAGGGAAGTGGAGAATGGAGGGCAAAATGCTTTAATAATCCTGTTTAGGTTTCGGCCAGTGTTTAAGTTAGATGAGAAAGCTCACAGCTCTCCAGTAATGGGCTTACCTGGTGGTTACTTTTACATATATCAACCCCAAGGAAAAGGCTCTCATTTCGCCTTTCTTTTCTTTTAATTTAGAGATGGATGGATCTGCCAATTTCAGTTTCTCTCAGTTTCCTATTTCTCCAATCTCAGGTTCAGCTCAGCTCATTTCCGTGGCAGTTTGTGTGGTGGTTGTGTTTGTTTTACTTAAAAGGTAAAAAGCAAAACTATATGAAAATATACTTTATGTTCCGATGTTCCTGTTTGGCTGCAGCCTGTACTTTATTGTTGTTGTTTAGTTGTTTAGTCGTGTCTGACTCTTCGTGACCCCATGGACCAGAGCACACCAGGCACTCCTGTCTTCCACTGCCTCCCGCAGTTTGGTCAAACTCATGCTGGTAGCTTCGAGAACACTGTCCAACCATCTCGTCCTCTGCTGTCCCCTTCTCCTTGTGCCCTCCATCTTTCCCAACATCAGGGTCTTTTCCAGGGAGCCTTCTCTTCTCATGAGGTGGCCAAAGTATTGGAGCCTCAGCTTCACAATCTGTCCTTCCAGTGAGCACTCAGGGCTGATTTCCTTCAGAATGGATTGGTTTGATCTTCTTGCAGTCCATGGGACTCTCAAGAGTCTCCTCCAGCACCATAATTCAAAAGCATCAATTCTTCGGCGATCAGCCTTCTTTATGGTCCAGCTCTCACTTCCATACATCACTACTGGGAAAACCATAGCTTTAACTATACGGACCTTTGTTGGCAAGGTGATGTCTCTGCTTTTTAAGATGCTGTCTAGCCTGTACTTAGTTGCCCTGTTAATAAACTCGAATTTGACTGCTGATTACTCCAGTCCAACCTAAGAGAGTTGGGGCAGTGCTTTAAGGGTAGAACTGGGGAGTCTCTGTTTCAAATCCTCCCTTGGGGATGTTTTTGTAACAATGTGAAAAGAAACTAGCAACATGATCCAAACCTAAGATATGCTGGGATGAGAGATTTTGGATTCGTCAGGTCTCGGGCTTTAGTGGCTCAGTCAGGGCTCAGCCAGCATAGCCTAAGCTGATATAATTTACACTGGTGCAAGTCTCAAAAGGTACGCGGGTGGCGCTGTGGGTTAAACCACACAGCCTAGGACTTGCCGATCAAAAGGTCGGCGGTTAGAATCCCCGCGATGGGGTGAGCTCCCGTTGCTCTGTCCCAGCTCCTGCCAACCTAGCAGTTCGAAAGAACGTCAAAGTGCAAGTAGATAAATAGGTAGTGCTCCGGCGGGACGGTAAATAGCATTTCCATTGCTGCTCTCGTTCGCCAGAAGCGGCTTAGTCATGCTGGCCACATGACCCAGAAGCTGTACGCCGGCTCCCTTGGCCAATAAAGCGAGATGAGCCACAATCCCAGAATCGGTCATGACTGGACCTAATGGTCAGGGGTCACTTTACCTTTAAGTCTCAAAAAAGAAGCAGTCCGGGGGCAAGGCATGGTGGGGAAAGTAAGAGATAGAAACCAATTTCAAACCCTGCTCAGCTTGGTCTTATGACCTAGGGCCTAATCCTGCTCAGCTTGGTTTTATGACCTAGGACCTAATCCTGAAAACCTGGGCTCACACTCATTTGCCAGCTCGGCCGGCAGTAGCCCTACCCAGGAGCTCTGAACAGACTTTGGAATACATGTAACTTATTCTGGTCTAAGGGACACCAGTTAGAATTGCTCTATAAGGCTGTAGTCCTAACTACGCTTACCTGGGAGTAAGCCCCACTGAATTCAAATAGGACTTTCTTCATTGATGGATTTAACAATGGAATACTGAATGGTTTTAGTTCATGTAAAATATGCAACGATGTATGATGTGCAAAAGGAACCACAGAAAGAGAAGAAGGGAAGCCACTGATTTAAGGTTGTTGAAATGAATGTTTTGAAACGTTAATTAGAAATTTAATAAAAAATTACAAGGGGGGGACCAAGTAGGACTTTCTTCTGAGTAGACATGGACGGAGTTGTGCTGGTTGTGCTTGAGAGTGCTCCTGATAAAGAGCTCACTGCAAAATGTGTTGGGATCAATATAAAACATTCCCTTGTAGACTTAGAATCTGCCTTCTAGGTCTGCCTTCTTTTTACTCAGGTCCCTGGTTGGCTAGGAAACTTTTCAGCCAGTCACATTCTCTCGGCCTCACCAGCTTCATAGGGTTGTTGTGAGGACTAAAGAGAGCAAAGGGAGAAGAGGAATTATATACAGTGCCTTGCACCCACGCCAGCTTCCGAATAAGAATGGGGAGCTCCTGACAGCATGCAGGATGTGATGTTGCATGCATGATGTCCTGATGTCATGTGAGTGAAGTCAGGATGCCGGAGGAACCATGGCAGGATGGCTTCAAAGGCCACAGCTTCTTCTCCTCCTGCCATCATCACCATGCTGTGCTCAACTCCGTGTTTGTCCTCCTCGAGGGGCCTTTGGATTTTGAGAGCCTGGCCCCTCCCAAAAATATTGGGGGTGTGTGCGCGCAAAAGGGCTCAACCCCTAGGAGATGGCGCCCTTGGTACCCTGAACTCCTTGAAGGAATGGTGGCATAAAAGTAATGCAAAACACATACAGTGGTACCTTGGTTCTCAAACTTAATCCATTCCGGAAGTCTGTTCCAAAACGCAAAATGGATTAATCCTTTCCAGACTTGTAAAAAGAACCCCTAAAACAGCAATTTAACATGAATTTTACTATCTAATGCATGGGTAAGCAAACTAAGGCCTGGGGGCCAGATTTGGCCCAATTGCCTTCTAAATCTGGCCCGCGGATGGTCCAGGAATCAGCATGTTTTTATATGAGTAGAATGTGTGTTTTTATTTAAAATGCATCTCTGGGTTATTTGTGGGACATAGGAATTCATTCATTTTTTCCCCTTCAAAATATAGTCCAGCCCCCCACAAGGTCTGAGGGACAGTGGACCGGCCCCCTGCTGAAAAAGTTTGCTGACCTCTGACAAGACCGTTGATCCATAAAATGAAAGCAATAATCAATGTGCTGTACTATAAAATAAATAAAACAGTATTGTAGATGATAAAAATTAAAATTTAAAAAAAATTCTTAACTGCACTGATGATAGTCATTGTTTGGATGGGGGGCTTTTATCCATCTATGCAGTCACACAATCAATCAATCAGTAGCTGAACTGGGATCCACACAGTCACAAAAACAAATTAACTGAAAAAGCCTCAAACAAAAAAAACTCAAAATAAACAGCAAAAACAAAAGTACCAAATATAAGCTCCAAATATCACCTTAGAACACTGCAATCGGAAAGGGAAGGCTTGAATAACAATGGGGGGCGGGGGAATTAGCAGCGCAACAGGAAACACAGGGGGACTCAAAACAGAGCAGGTTCGGCTTCCGAAAAAAAGTTCAAAAACCGGAACACCTACTTCTGGTTTTGCAGCGTTCGGGTTCCAAGTTGCTTGTGAACTAAGCTGTTCAAAGGTACCACTGTACTGCAAAGACATAGTACAAAAATAACACCTCCAGGATAGATGGGGCTGCAGAAATGCAGCCATTTTCACAGAAGTGGGGTCAGCCAATTTATTCAGGAATGATGGAACTGAGCCCGCTGTCACTCATCGTCTCAAATGGCCAATCACAGGGGCTCCAGCATTGTTCAAAGGGCTATGTATACAGAGCTCCAGCTGCTGGATCTGGAAGGAGCAGAATAGGTGCAACGACCTTTTTGCATGGCACACACCATTCTGTGGAAATCTACTGCATTGCTCGCATAGTCCCTTGCTGAATTGGGATGAATGAATCCCCCAGCGGCCCTGAATGACAAATTACTGACTAATGTTGCATGGGGAAGAAAAAAAACAATAACACAATATAAGACAATATTTTGATGGCATCACCTAGCCCAAACCAATTGGGAAAATTTTAAGGCTCTTTTTCTTCCTCTGCCCTCGAATTCACACCATTTATATATATCACTTTCCCAACCTTTTTATTATAAAAATATTCCACGTGATTGCATTCCACATACAGTAATTACAGCTTGTGACTAGATCAAACCGTGTGTTTTCCCAAACCAGCAGTAATCAAATCAAATGCTTTAAATTTGCCATTTGACATAATTACTATA